CCTTGATCGATAAATATTTAAAAGCTATTAGTATGTTAGTGTTTGTTAATGAACAGTTGATGCAAAGTGAACGAGGGATCACGTATTTGCGCGAATCTTTAGCTGTTGTCAAGATTTCTCTAAAGATTAATTCTGGAGTGGATATGCAGCGAAACCGGAATAAGAACACGTACTTTCTATTCGAGAGAACTAAAATAAAAGTTTGTGAAAAGGTCGACTCGGTATATTTTAAAACTTAACGATCATAACTTCTGTCGAACTCCATTAAAATTTTACAACCACTTTACACCAAAGAAGAGATGCTATGTAAAATTATTCGTGGCTTAAACAGTTGTGTCCAAAAATACCGTTTAAGAGGAATAAGAGATATTCCAGACGACGTTAACATTCCACATCGCGACTGAAAGAATATTCGATAAGTTTGGACATTGTATATTGGAGTCAAATGGAGTGCAGCAATCGATTCGTTTGGTTCGCTGAACTCTACGCTCGTAACAGTTACAAAATTCTAGTTGTTAAATCTCTTTCACTTTTCACACATTTTCTATATGTCGAATAAAAACATATAAAGGAAAGTCCTCTATTATGAGATGGGATTCTAATATGAGATAGCAGGTTTCCAACGTCCAAATTCAATCGCAAATCTTTTATCGCAACGATTACACGATCCAACAATAAATTTTCCCCCAAACAGCTTTCACTCCAAGGGCAATAAATTCATGATGGAACCAACAGATATGATACCTATTAGTTTAGCAGAAACTCCGTTATATCATATTGAGAACCTATCTCATAATAGCGGTCTTTCCTGTAATAATGGTAGCAACAGTTACGGTTACCTAGATCGTATTCAAGAACTGCTTCCTTTCAAAACAAAGTAATAACACGAAGCGTGCGATACTTAACTGAACACAAACACGTCTATATAAATATTTACGATTAAGAGTTTACATTCTAGAATAAGTAAAGTCGACAAGCGTGGCTGAAAGAAAATTGAGTGATCCAAAGAAAGATAATTTCTCACTTCGTTATACAAATCTCTAATTTTATTTAAAATTTTGTGCTTGCTTTTCGATTTCTTCGATGCAATCGTTTGAATTCCAACCAAACTTTGAGTAACGAAGTCTTCGTGCCGTGAAATAAAATTGTGTTAAACTGCAAAAATATTGTCAAGAAATTGATAAATCCATGCGTTGATCACAATTTCAAAAATCACAGAATATTTTGTTCCAAATAAAGAAGTTAAACAGACTCGGTATATCGAAAACTTGTGATCTGTGAATGTAACGTGCTGCAAAGCCAGCTTCGCGTTACGCAGCGATTGGCTGCGATTCGATAATCATCGAAAACGGAGGAAGTGCCTCGTTAGTGCTTCTTGAATACAATGTATGAGTAACGAGAGTTACTCAAAAGCTCCCGTTGAAACCCGTTATTATCATCAGGCTCCATTTTCACGGCTCCATATAAAGCGATACGCTAGTGTCGCATATGGACTTTTAATGAAAAGTCCTTGAACGAAAGAAGAAGATCGGTTTAAGAGTTGTTATTCATGCAGTACAGGATGACACATGCGTCAATTGAGTCTTTTGTCTGCCTGAAACACGCGACATATTACGTTTTAAGGTGTTCGCAACACCTCGTAACGCCTCAATGGTTAACATACTTGAAATGATTAGCTGCATCGTCATTTTCGTAAAACTTCAAGAAACAGTTTCACACACGATTATCATGAATGCGCAATAGTCATCGCTATTAAGTCCTATCTACGTGTCATATCGATCGTTTTGCGATTGCATAAGACATGTTTATATTAATAACAGGTGTGCTACAAAATCGCCCCTTCCGCAAATCTGCAAAGATTTTACGCCACTTTTAGTTTAAGAACAGCAAAAATTAGATTAAAAGGACAATTTCAACTTCAAATTGGTATATCTTACATTTTGACTTTTCAATACCGCGAGCAGTGAAACTTCATTCACGACATATCTCGTCTCGTTTCAATGACAATGCGAGACGACTGTACCCCACACACCGAAACCTTCATTCGTAGGACGTTTATCCAGCTGCCGATATTTTCTCAGGAGGAGGGCCATTGGGTCAAAGTACTTTCTATTGCGTGACGGCAAAAGAATAATGCGAAGTCCTTCTATTTTAATCAAGCTTCTCCCGCAAGATATAGCCTGGGGTTCAATTCTTGAATTCATTCGAAAGAGAAGAGCCATGCGAATAGCCAGTCAACTTGCGGCTTTTCTGCAAGAGCAGAATTTTCGCATGTGTTTCTCTTTCGAATGAATTCAAGAATCGAGCACCTGATCGTTAAGAAAGAACGGAAAGCTGAACCGAGAGAGGAACGGAAAGAGGAATAAGGGGATAAAAGGAACCAGATACTCCACATCCAAGAGGCAAGAGCAATCGCGGACCTTGTACGGGGGCGCGTATTCTTTTCGCAGACGGGCTCGTGGCCTGTCGAAATTAGCGACTTGGCGAGGTAACCAGGACAACGGCGTCTCGAAAACAGCATACGTCGACGACACGCTCGCGCGAGAACTCGGCCTATTTTTAGCTTGTTCGTCGTCGAGCTGCCGTCGCTCTCTCGGGAGGCTCGACCGTCGGCTACACCAATCCAGCCGCGACACGCCTTCGTCACGACCAATGCAACTACGATAGGGTTTCCTTGCGAGCCGTACACGAACATACACACACACCCAGACGAAACTCGTTCTTTGTGACGCAAGATACGTCACGGTGAACTGGAGCCTTTGCTACGTAGAGGAACGACGAAATATCCTCTTACGCGATTGTATGTGATACCGGCCGTCGTACACGCTTACTATGCCTACGCGTAACCGGCCACTCGTTGCAACGGCTTCTAGGATCATAGGCGTAGCTTCCGATCCATGATCAAATGAACATCTTCGCCTAAATGAGAAGTTCTTTTATTCCTGTACACGATGCGAGATGTATCGAAAGGAATTTATCTTGCAACGTCTTTGAAATCGTAAATCGCAGCTCTGCAATTTAAGTTTCGAGTTCCTTCCCTCTAGAAAACGTATTCTAATTGACAGAAAAGATGAAGCAGATAAATTTTTACACTCGAATTCTACATCCAGCTATCTGTCTAGCTATATTGGGAATAGGGAGGCAGGAAAGAAGATTCAATTTGGAAGCTAATTTCCTACTTTGATGGATTAGGAAGTCAATTTCATTGAACGAATTCCTGTCACTTTTCTTTTGACTCAGCTATTTTCCTGCAGAAATTTTATCGTCCCGACAGGTTTCTTATGAATTTTGCAGTAGTAAAGAGAATAGAATCCGCGTAATACGCACATTCACTATTCAAGAAATATGGAATTAAGAAACATTAGCGGGATTTTATTTTCGTGAGATAACAGCCCTTTTAAACCTTGAGATAAATTGGAATTGTGGCATGAAAAATTACGGGGGAAAGTTGATAATAAAAGATTACGTAGAAACGTGGAATCAGGTTTTGTCTCAAGGTTTCATGCCTACATCGGCCGACCGTGATCTAAAAAACTAAATCGCTTTATCCGCTAACCCGTGTGGGATCAATATCATTCAACTTTGCAATAATGCGCATCCAATTGAATATTGATTACGCCTAGGGTCGACACTCCTACGCGAATCCGCATACGTGCGGACATCATTTTACTAATTTTTTGACATTAGCCCTTTGAAGCATGGTGGTAACCCACGTTTATAGCTGCGGCCATGTTAACAGTCTATTATAGCCGGAATTAAATGAGGAATGATACTTTATTATCAGCTGACACCTTATCTCGATGAGATTTTCTGTGTAGATCGATACTTCTTCGATCGCTCGCTGTTCCGCTTCTCTATTTCCATGTTTCGTTTCACAGAAATTATTTTATTCATTCGCATACTTTTGCAAATGTACGTATGTCTATGTCTGATATAAATGTAATTGTGTAGAAATTAAATATCCATAAATCTGCTGCAACTGTTAAATATTTAACAACTTTTTACGTCAGTATAAATTTACTCGGCGAATCGCTTTAGCATTGGTAATCTCTTCGGTCGTGCCCCTGTATCAAGTTCGCGATATGCACTGGGTAGTGAAATAGATATCGCCGTGAAAAAATAGGTGTGCTCAGTGATGCAAATTCCGCTACTTTTGCAGCACGATGTGGTCGGAGAGGGGTACATCGTGTTGCAAAAGTAGCGGAATTTGCATCACAGGGTGTGCTCGCTATTTATACTTTCTACCTGATTGCGCTTTTTTTTTTATTTCGAGCGGTAACTGCGAGTGTTATATGTGGCATACTGTTGCTTGTCATCTTTGCTGAAATCAGATGAGTTATGATCGAGAATATTATCTGAAAGTATCGATTCCTAACTTGTGAATTCAGTTTAATGTTTAATCAAGGGTGGAATATTTTTATTTCCCGTTTCTACTTATCCATTTTATAGATGACACATATTAAGATAGAATTCTCTTTCTATTTATACTCGATCAGATTTTAAAGACAATTTATATTTCGGAGATTTGATATTTCGTTGCCAATCTCTATCGAATCGTATTAATTAATTATCACTTGTACTGTAAGTCAGGGTTGGGAAGTAACTCGTTACTTGTAACGAAGTTACAGTTACTTCTTTTTGGTAACTCTAACTTAACTTCGTTACTTTCTCTACATCTGTAACTGTAACTTAACTCAGTTACATTTTTTCGATAACTAATTTAATAGTTACATTAAGAGTTAGGTACTTTATATATTTTTTCAACCTCCACAGATCACATTAGGCCTTCGCATTTGCGCATAAACGCCTTTATCGCCGCTTTACAATTCAAATGCAGATTCGATATTTTTATTTTTATTGCAAGGGAGTAACTGCAAAGTAACGATTCGTTACTTTTCGAGTAACTGTAACGCGTTACTTTTCAGAATTGGTAACTTGTAACTGTAACTAGTTACATTGTTAGCGAAAAAACTGTAACTGTAACTAGTTACTTTTATAAAGTAACTTTCCCAACCCTGCTGTAAGTATAGTGAGCTTTAACACGCGATCACATATTGCTTTTTCTGTGTTTTCTCTTAACCGAGAATTTCATACTCTTCCATTCGTGTTAATAGATGTTAAATTATACTGTCTAGATTTAAACTCGCAAATTACTGATAAGTGCCTTTGACGTAACGCTTTTTTTTTGCATTTTTAAGAAGTCGTTCCTATTTGCAAAGCCGTGTCGTGATATTGTATCGTTCTCCGTTGTGATTAATGCAACGTGTGGACTTTGTTGCTTACGACGGTAATTGCGAATCAGTACAAGAAAGAACAAAAATATGAGGTGTATTTTTTGCGCGGTTCAATAACTTTTCATCGAAGAAATGTTACTTATACTTGTTTTTATTTGCGTGGAAAAACTTGCGTGATGCGCGATAAATGATCGATGCATCATAAAACTTAGCACTCTGCTGCGTTGAGCAAACTTTGAATATCTCATTTGCACCGGTGCATAAACGAAAGATGCGAAAATTTCCTCTAGTGTATTAGTACAACGCTAAAAATGATTAATCTGCCAAAATACAACAATTACTGCGAGTATAATAACATTGCGACTTTCATCTATCTCTGGCTTATTGCAAGATCTGAAGTTGCTCGCATCACGATTTTAAGAATTGAATTATTTCAAGCAGATAAAAATCTAAACTGAAATCGTAAAGCGGAAGATTACTGCCTAAACGTTCTAATAGATCTGTTTACTTTGCTGCTCTCTTCCCATATTTGCAATAGAATAAGGAATATGTTCTTGTAGAGCTTCGAAAGATACAGAAAACTAAAATGCGAAGCGCGACTGAAGCCAGCAAATAAATCGCAAATGGTCGCTATTTCGTAAGAATAAGTTTAAAGTCCGATGCACGATCTTGATGGAAGAGAAATTTCTTTCGATGAACGACAGTCTCGGTGCACAGTACATAGCATTGTTATCGTATATCCGCGTGCGAAGTGCACTCGGCTGACGGACCACCAACGTCAAAGAAGACTCGCAACATAAAAAATGCATCGATAAATATGCAAATGCTGTATATAAATATGTAAACGCATGCTCTTGGAACAATAGAATAATGATGCGCTTCACTTGTGATTTCTGCGGTAAGACCCATGCATTTTTTTTTACATCTTCCACACGATTGCCGTGGAAGTTATTTCAATTATTTATTTTAGTCATTATCGATTTATTGGTCTTCCTTTTTGCTAGTACATACCAAGTGTGTAGAGATAAATTCGTTTTAATAAAATACAAGCGACTTACGCCATTGCACGGCACACAAGCTCCCGCGTGTAACGATAATACAGTATCTCTATGAAAGTGACATGCGTGTGCGCGTGCATATATACATGTTGGCACTATGCAAATCTAACAAAAAAAAATGGAGCGATGTAGCGCTGTGTTAAATAACACCAACACATACGCACGCACGTGGTATTCATGTATCTTCCGGGTGGAATGATACGTGTGCCCGGCGCGCGTGTGCGTGCGTGCGTGCGTGTGTCCGGTGTCCAAGTATAATAATGGTCAGTGAAGATACCGATCCACCAGTCTTCAGCACGTGTTCCGAGACACTGGAGAACGTTGAGACGAACCGCGAGGCAAACGATTCGACACAACACAAGCCATTCTATCGCGCACGGGTCAATCGGTGAAAGTAGAACATTGGAACGTGATCTAACAATAAGTGCGTATTTGTGCGCGGAAAGACTTGGAGATGACGATTAAATCGGCCGACCTCGAGATGCCGTACCTGAGAAGAGCGGTACGCATCCGACTCTCTGAAAAAGTAGCAAAGGAAAAGAGGATCGAAAAGAACTGGATTCAATGATATGTAGTTTTTTAAAACGACCTACATTGATCAATGTTTTTATTTTAAAAAAACGACGTTTCGGTCACAGATCTGTACCCCTTTTCAAGTAATCTGTTCACACAATTGTTAACGATCTCATATCGTTGTGTTAGTGAGATTAGTAAAAAAATGATTACACTCTTTGGTTGAAGAGTGTCGAGAGATGTGTGTTGGACGAGATATCAGATTGAACTGATAGAAGAACTAGATTCCTACGAAATTGAATAACTCGCCTTATTAGGGAAACGTTTCTTCTTCCTCGTATAAATAGCAAAGTAAAAATTAATAAAATAAAGATACGAAATTTATACTGACGAGATATTTCCTGCGAGCATTTCGTGGTTCGCTACTTGTAGAATAAATGTTCGATTCTTCCTATTTGATTCTGAATACCGGGTAATATTTATTTATTACATTATACTTGCGCGCTGCATATTCATCGCTTCATTAATATACCATGTATCTTATCGATATTTGCATCTCAAAAAGGAATAAGGACGCAGTTTTGAAAATGTTGAAGGAATATTCCTTGTGAGAATTTTTCGAAAATGTGTTTCTTCAAATTTTTATATCTTAAAATGAATTAAAATTGTGTCTTTTCCAACAAATTTCCCCTTCTAATATCAGACGAATAATGTATTTGTGATACGACATTCTTTCTGTAATAACTTTAAAATAAGATTTTCCATGTCGATTTCTGCCTTAGGGTCTCAATGGTCGGCTTGCGTTTGCTATCGCGGCGGCCGCTCTCGGCTCGTCGTTTCAACATGGATACAACACCGGTGTGGTTAATGCACCTCAACAGGTATGGATATTCTTAAAACGTCTTACACAGGAACGAAAAAGCAGTAAATGACGAGTGGAAAATGATGCAAAGTAGTAAATACATGTTGTAACGTTTGTTAGCTTATCGAGGACTGGATCAAAGACTTGAAGACGAACCGCACGGGTGTTCCAACGGAAAAGACGGAGGTGACGTTAATCTGGTCTTTGGCGGTATCGATATTCTGCGTCGGTGGAATGATAGGTGGTTCTCTGGTGGGTTGGGTGGCGGATCGCTTCGGCAGAAAGGGCGGTCTGCTGATGAACAACGTCCTGGTCCTACTGACCGTGATCTTCGAGGGCAGCGCCAAGGCGGCGAAGAGCTACGAGATGATAATCGTCGGCAGATTCCTGATCGGTATAAACTCCGGGCTGAACGCCGGTTTAGCGCCCATGTATCTGGCCGAGATCTCTCCCGTGCATCTGCGCGGCGCCGTGGGCACGGTCTACCAGCTGGTCATCACCATCTCGATTCTGGTGTCGCAGATCCTCGGCCTGGAGCAAATCCTCGGTACCGCCGAGCAATGGCCGTTGCTGTTGTGCCTAACGATCGTACCGGCGTTCTTCCAGATATGCACGCTGCCTCTCTGTCCCGAAAGTCCCAAGTACCTGTTGCTTAGCCGCGGCAAAGATATGGACGCGCAAAGAGGTAGGAAAGTAGACGGATAACAAAAATACTTTAACAGAAATTTATCTCGAATGAAACATTTGAGAATAAATTTGCGAAACGCGAGTACCTTTTCTTGCAAAATTCCGTCGTTTTATACATGATAAAATAGGCTTCTTTGCTCACAAAACTTGCCTTTCTCCTCAATAGCGCTGTCCTGGTTGCGCGGCACAATCGAAGTTCACGACGAGATGGAAGAGATGCGAGCAGAGTACGAATCGGTGAAACTGCTGCCGAAGGTCACTGTACGCGAGCTGTTTGTAAATGCAGCGCTTCGCATTCCTCTGTTCATCTCGATCATGATTATGTTCGCCCAGCAGCTGTCGGGCATAAATGCCGTCATGTTTTTCTCAACTAAGATCTTCAGGATGGCGCAGCTTGACGCGCATGCCGCCCAAAACGCCACGATGGGAGTCGGCGCGATGAATGTCTTGATGACCCTCGTCTCTTTGGTGTTGGTAGAGAAGGCAGGCAGAAAAACGTTACTCTTGATCGGATTCGGCGGTATGTTTGTGGATACTGTTCTACTCGCCATTTGTCTCGTATTCGCTGTAAGTATTCCTGTCCTTTAGCTAGTCGAGGTATACGATAACTCCCGAAAGACGCAGAGATTGTGATCCAATTTTTTATCTGCACACTGTAGGAAACGTCGCGAGCAGCAGCGTATCTCTCGATCGTGCTTGTCATCATGTTCGTCGTCCTGTTCGCCACCGGACCAGGAAGTATTCCGTGGTTCCTGGTGTCAGAGTTGTTCAATCAATCCGCCCGACCACCCGCTACCTCCATCGCCATCGCCGTCAACTGGACCGCGAATTTCATCGTCAGCATCGGCTTCCTGCCGCTGCAGGAGGCGCTAGGCGCTTACGTGTTCATCATCTTTGCGGTGCTGCAGTTGTTCTTCACGATCTTCATATACAAGAAAGTGCCGGAGACGAAGAACAAGACCATGGAGGAGATCAGTAGCATGTTCAGGCAAATATCGTATCAGTGAGGATTATAGTCAAAATGGGTAAAATATTTTTCGAAAACAAAGTCAACACACGTACGACCGATGAGTGCGTTTCGCTCTCTATCCTCTTTCTCTGCCTGTGTCGAGGAGAATTCAACGGTTTGGCGAAAGTGGCACACTATTCTATAATCTATCAACGCGCTTCCAATATTCTGCCTCTACGCGGTATCCAAAGTTCATCGATAGGATACTCGGTGAATATTTGTCTGTAATCGCGATGTGTGCTACAATGTATTCGGTACAGTAGTCATAACCCGCAATCGTGCCAATCCGGAAATCTTAACTTTTTCTTGTATAATAATTTAATTTTTTAGCGTTTTATTCTCAATTTCTGTAACTCGGAAACTTGGTTCCAAGTCGAATCGCGCGAGCGCGAACATTTCGCCCTGGGGTTTAAGTTGTGAACTAAAGCCAAATTGTAAACTAAAGCCAACGGTACACGATACTATTTTTCCTACTGGATTTCTTATAAGAGCCAATAAGGATAAGAGTTCAGTAGGAAAAATGGTACCGTGTGCCGTTGGCTTTAGTTTTAGTTCCTACGTTGCAACCAGCAAAGAAAAAGTCGTCGCAAGAAAGAAGAACTGAAATGGCACGAAACCGTTTAAGACACACGATTCTTTCACAGTCTTTTCAAACAATAATTTGTTCCTTGTTTCAGGAACAATAACGTACGCCATTACCTGTACGAATGATTACAGTTCTAGTCACGAAAAGACCTGTAGCCGGAATAGAACGTTGGAAGAATCTTACACGCCGGCCGATTTTATTTTTATCACGGAACCTCCGATTCGTTTTACATCGACAGGTCGCTAAACAAATCTTTTACACGGCATCACGTAAAGTTGTATACTATCTTTTAAAGAAATCATTAATCGAATGCAATTTTTTATAGTATAACGGTTTTATGACAGTGTCAGGAAAAACTAGCGTTCCCACTGTCAAATAATCGCGTCGCGTTACTGTCTAAAGAAATTTAAAAAAATAGTCGTCGAAAACAAAATAGAAGCGATTAGATCGATGAGAGTGAAGAGCGTATCAATTGCCTTTTTATGAGATAATTTATAATAGAAATTTTAAGAATATTTTATTATACGTAAACCGAGATGTAAGTTTTATTCGAACGAGAACGGGAAGAGTGCTGTTAGGATAATTGTAAATACAGAAATATATGTAAAGACTAGTATTGTGCATAGCGTAGGAGATAATTATATTTATGTATACATGTAGGTTTGGTTAATGTTTAAGCATATATCAACGTTTTTTTTTTAATTATTTAGATTACTTTTAATTTGTGTATACATAAACGTAAAAGAAAACATACGATATACTAAATGTAACTCAGGAACTTACGCTGGTTGTTATCTCGTTAAAAGCACAGGTGGATACAAGGTTTTATTTGTCCTGTGTCTGCGCCTCTCGAGAAATACTCATCAGAAACTCAATCATGAATGTTATCCTCAAGCATGAACTCGTGAAAAGTGAACATTTTCATTGGCAAATGTTAAATTCGTTAACGAGATTTTTCACCTTTCACGCGTCTACGCTAGAGAAAAAGATTCATGATCGAGCCCCTCTAATAATCACGTTAGTATTAAACGGATTTACTCTAGAAAGCAGAAAGCATCTAAGTTTACTCGACACGTAAAATAAATCATTGATTTTCTACTTGGAATGTGTCATTTGAGAGAAAATTGAATCGATCAGAATTTCAGATTTATTATAAGTGCGATTCGGTATGTTATCCATATCACGTATGTTATGTGCCATGTATATTCAAAGTATGTCAATCGCGGACCCATCAATTTGTCGCGAAACTGTAAATAATACAAGAGTTTTCATATATCTTTTTAGTTACTTGATTGCTAATTATCGTATAAGTTTTTGCAACGCAGTTAGCTCTTAGGTTTAGGCGATTCTTTTATAAATAAATCTACAAACTCTTGCTAATCAAAAGGGGCGGCGTTAAACTCTGTAATCCGTATCGTTTGTACGCCAAGAGTTATTTGCTGTAATTATGATAATTCAGTATCTCCGTCGACATGTCCGCCTACAAAATGTGTTATTAAATGTTACGAGATGTCTTCAAGATTACAGTTTTATAACACTTGATGTCGATATATACATATATCATCGAAATAAAGAGGAACATCAAGGATGAAACATGTATTTCTATATTAGCTTGTACACAAGGCGACTTTTGGCGACTGATTGGTACATTTTAAATGATCCACGCAAATATCTCCCAAAAATATTAAAGACACGTTTTTCCGTGTCTCTCTCATATTTTGGGAGATATTTGCGTGGATCATTTGAAACAAGCACCCTGCATATTGAACCTGACGGCTATAATTTTCAGGCGGAAAAGCGTTGATGACGCCCAGTGTACGCTCTGATACATGTAGCAAACAATCGTCAAAAATGGCCTATGGTAGTGACGTCGACAACGCCTAATTGTCCAAACCGTTACCGTTTGATCCTTCTCGCGAAAGATGCTGAATTTATCCGTCTTGGAAACGACGCAGGATGTATCTTGGCAGAATAGTTTACACGCGGCACAGATTTTACGTTTCAAACGTACCGAAGACGTCCGATAAATATCGACGAGAATCCCGTCGGATGGCGCGTCGTGCACGATATAGATCCTGGATTCAAATTGATCGATCGTCCCTTTATCACTTACCGGTATGCAGTTGTTTCCTCGGCACACAATGCGGTTACTCCGATGCGGGACGAGGAGAGCTTAACGCTGATGGCATCGAGCGCCGGCAAGCTGCAAATAATTGGCAGGTAAAACTCTCGATTTGCAATCTTTTTGCAAGAAAGTTTCCATGTCACGGTCCCCATGACGACCTCTGACGGTGAGCGACTAAAGGCGGGGAACGCGACGCGGCGCGCGCGTCGCCGTCCCGTCGCGCGTCCGCGAGGAGTATTGCGAGTAAACACGAAGCGGAGGCGCCGCGCTCGCAAGCTCGCATACCTCGCGCGTGCTCGCTGGCACTCGCGCGATCGTCCGTAACGTCGTGACAATTGCCCCTCGAGCGACAAGCCGGGATCTCGGGTCCGTATCGCGTCGCGTCCGCTCGGAGAGGCGTTGGGGCACCGTCAGAGACGCCCGACATGCATGGGGCGAGCGCGTGGTGGTATGCTCGTAGCGGCGTCGGCGTCGGTGCGACCGCGTCGAAAGAACGTCGAGCGTCGGTTCGCCGCGCAACCGACTCATGAACGGTGAGAGGAGCGTCGACGCGGTTACCGCTGCTGCTGCTGCCGCCGCGACCGGCGCTGTCAGCGGCAACCGTGGCAACGGCGGCGGGGCGAGAAGGGGAGAGGGTGCCGGTTCTCGCGTCGGTGGTGGTGGTGGTGGTAAGAACAATAATAACACTGATATCATTGGTAACGGCGTTGCGGCCGTTGTTACCGGCGGCGTCGTCGGTGGCGCCGCGGACGGCCCCCGCGGCGTGACGTTGCCCGACGCCCGCGACACGACGCCAGTGAATTTCTGTCGCGAGACAACAGTACCGCGCACCTGCGGCGGCGGCGGCTGTCGTTGCTGTATCTCCGCCGCCGACGCGTTATCGTTCCCGGTGACAGGCGCGCCGACGCGCGCGCCCAACGGCGCCAGCGACGTCGCCGCGACGACGACCGACTACCGCGAGTTGACGCCGAGCAGCGCCGGGACGACGCCGTTGCTGCTGGACGCCGGTAGCATCGACGCGCGGACGGTCGGTAGGAGCAGACGCGGCAACGATAGCAACAGCAACAGTAATTTCACCAACGCCACTACCGTCGTCATTGTTGACGTCGCGTCGTCGTTCCGCGGCGACGACGCCGACGACGACGACGACGACGACGAAGACATCGTCGTCGACGACGACGACGACGACTCGGGCTCGGACTCGGACTACCACAATCGCGGCAACATGGTCGCGGCGATGAACGAGCATCTGTCCAACGCAACAACGACTACGTCGTCGTCGTCGCCGCCGGCGGTGGCGAACGCAATTCGCGCCGGCAGCAACACCGTCGCGATGTCGTCGTCGTCGTCGTCGTCCTCGTCGTCGTCGTCGTCGTCCTCATCGTCGTCGCTGTCGTCCGCGGCTATAATGACGAGCGGCACGAACGCCGGCGGTAACGGCAATCCCTCCGGCAATCCGATGACGACGATGGGCAACGCCGTGAGCGGTGCCAACGGCAGCGGCGTCTGCAGCAGCGCGCGCAATCAAGAGTTCCGCGAGGTGGACGGCGACGGCAAGGGCGCCGCGACCACGACAACCACCACCGCCGCCACCACCGGTATCCTCACTTTTCCATGTGACTTCGATCATATGTACGCCAGCATGACCGACGGCGCCGCGCCGGCCGCCGCTCTCGGCGTTAGTCCGCTGCGCGGCAACGACTCCCGTCACAATGATCTCACCGAGGTCAAGCACCTGAAGGAGCTGCTGCTGCTCCACCTCGACCTTATCCAGCAGCAGTTCGAGCAGATCGTCACCAAGGACAAGCTACTCACGGCGCTGCGCCAGGAAAACGAGACGGTACGCGGCCGAGAGGAAAAATGCCCTTCCCCCGAGTCGAAATGGCGAGCCGGGGGTCACCGGCCTCGTAGGAGGCGATTCAAAACGGTGTTTTTACTCCACGCGATTTGTTTGTCGAGGCACACACGCGTGGCCCCTTTGGCGATTCGAATGCAGCGACAACGCCGATGTCGGAGCAAAACAGAGCGGGCAGGCGCGCGCGCGCGCGTTTAAATGTCTTTCCCAAAATATTAATTTTCGCGGAGTGCAAGAACCGTGGAGGTGTCCGTCTCCATCGTTCCATTTCTATGGTTAAGCCGCGAAAACCCTCACGGGCATCTATTTTAGCGCGAGGGGAAAGCTTTTGAATCTCGGAAGGTGCTCGGGAGTCGAGAGACGCGGAATGCGGTGAGGCGAGTGCGCGGTGGTGAGTCATCGTGCGCGAGTTTCAATTGAAAACCTGATTCGTCCTCCGATCCCGTTTATCCGCCTGATTTTTGCGTAAGCGCCCGACGACGCCGAAAGATTGCTGCACGGAGATCGAGCTTGTGGAAAAGCGAGCTGGCTCTCCTCGTCGTCGATTGATTCGGCGCTCATTCACAGTCTCGGGCGCGCGACGCTTCCTCACGGTCGTCGTCGACGACAAATAAAGTAGACCCGAGCTTACCGGCCTGATCTAAGCGGCTCGCGCGTATTTCCGGCCGCGAGTCCCGCTCTCCTCGCGGAGCTTCTGGCGGCTCGGCGACTCCTGGCACCATTTTGTAAAAATGCGCCCCGCTCGCGCGCTAGCCTAACCTAGATGTACGTACCACGCGGGGAACGGGTTGACCGTGAAGGTCAACTTGCGCGGTGTCAACACGTGGTGGCGCTACTTCCGCATTGCGAGACCGCTCGCTCGCGAGACATTTCGGGGCTCCTTCGCGCGGGGAGTGACGACGTTCTCGCTGCTGCGTTTTCGCGATTTGAAAATGACAGTTGAACCAAGTTGAACCGAGGGGGGAAACGGCAATCGCGCCAGTAGATCGCGGTGCGCGCCCCCGTTTACTCCCGACGCCGTGCCCTCCCGCGCGCGCGAGACACCGATACCGCGCGTCGACGACGTTCGTTGACGGCGCGAATGACCGAGCGCGAGCGACATCGTCGAATTAACCCGCGGACACATAACCAAAAACCGCGACGAAAGTCGAGGCGAGGGTAAACGACATGATTTGCGAGGAGAGAAAGACGGTGTACGGGCCGTACACGAGAAGTGTAAATAACCTTGGAGATGTCTGTAAAGGGGTGGCGACGTGTAAGAGATGTCGATGACGGAATGGCGTTTGTATGTTGCAGCTGAAACTGCGTCTGGAGCGTATGGAAAGGCGCGTGAGCCTTCAGAAGCTGAGGTCCGAATGTAGCGAGAATTCCACCGGCTCGGAGCACCTGGGCGCCTGCTCGCCCACCAGTGTCAATTCGGTCAACGTACCTTCGACCAGCGAGCAGCTGCACCAGAGAACTGTCCAGTGCGAGGCCGGCAATACCCTGCACGAGAGCTTCAAGATACGTCTCAACACCAGCGGCGGCATCACCACTGTCAAACAGGAGCCGCACGATAATCAAATTAAGCTGGAGGTCAAGCAGGAGCCCAATAACGAAGCGAGGTTCGAATGGGAAGACAAGAAGAAGAGACGATCGGATCCGACTCCCCTGTCCACCGGCAGCAAGAAGAAGAGAGGGCTCTCCTGCTCGTCCGCCATCGGTAACTCGGATGGAATGCAAGAAAAGATACTGGCCCAGACCTTGCACGAGACTAGCAGAAAGAGCGACAAGAAGGCAAAGTCTGTCGTGAAGAAGGAGTCCTTTCTCACCACCGAGGAACACTATTATACAGCCGTAGGAGACTCAACTTACGCGTTAAACATGCAACAGTCTAGCCCAAAAGAAGCCAAGAATACGTTAGAGGTGCCGCACTGGAGGGTCAAGATGTACACGAGTTGCTACACGATGGAGGGAACTGAGAATTTGGACGACGAAATTTTTAACAAGAGACACTTGAAGTTGGAGAACGACGAGAGGAGGAGAAAGCGATGGGATGTACAAAGGATAAGGTTAGTAAAATGTCGTTAGGGCGCTCTCCGTTCTCCCCGAGAGCAGTATATAATAATCTCGCTTGTATATTTTAGGGAACAAAGGCATATAGAGAAGTTAAAACAACGTCAGGAACGTCAAAATCATCAAGCTACGTGCTACAATACCAATCACACCGGTCCTTGTCCCTCGTCCATGGAGGAGGAAACCGTAACGTCCTTGTGGCCTGATATAGAACAAATTCAAAGTCTCCAAGTAGATGCTCGTTTGCCAGTAACTGCATTTGGCGCTCCTATTCCTAGTTTCACTTCAAGGTAAACGAGTCTATGTCTTAAATGTACGTGCATATACCTTAAATAGCTTATGTATTAAACGTTAACGAGCATAAACTTTATCTTTCAGCGAATTCTCTTTACCCTGGTCGAATATAACGCGAATTAAGTGTCGACGTCCTAAACGTTCAACAGGTAGAAGAAAATCTACAGGTAGAAGAAAAGTTTAGAAGATAGAAATTTTTATAAAAGTGGACAGAACTGATTTCATCGGTGCCGTTAATTTTTAATTCCTCAAACTACTATCGCTCCCTCACGCCATAATTGAAACAGCGTTTTTCGTTTGCGAGACAGGGGCACCAAAGATATTTTTATTGACTTTTTAAATATATGCAATATAGTATAGTTTATCTATTTTTTCTACATTTTTATTTAAGTAAATTCATCGTCAATACTTGTTTGATACTTGATCTACTCTACATTTTGTACTCGGTGTTGGTCATTTTATTTACATAACCATGAGTATCGCAACGTACCGAAATATCAATTCGGCATAATCAACATTTTTTCAACTCCAGACCAGATTTCCGCTCCATTTTCAGTGAGTTGACAATATCGATATTTGCAAAGCTTTTTACCGCTTCAATTATACAGAATACTCTTTATATTATTTTATAATTAAATACATCCTTTGCTAACAATTATTTAAAAAAATGGTTAACGAAATCCTGTACATTGATAATATTCACTTGGTAAGAGTATGTTATAAAACAATGTTACATAATGGAAGAATATAATGAATTTTTTAATCTTGTGTAGCCTTTCTTGGTACTTAATAAATTCTGCGTTTCGTCATAATTTCACGTCTAAGGGGCGATAGGTATTTTTGGAAAAATTAACCGTTGTTGCAAACGTGCGATTGGTTAACTTAAAAATTTACAGTACAAATGTATTGTATAGAGAGTGTTTCAGAAAACGCGCGCTTCCTCTCACCAACAGATTCCTCGATGAAATTAACATTTCCTTGGCGAAAATTTGATGGCCTAACGGAATAACTTGAACTTTTCACTAAGGAAACATATTCGCGTCAAGAAAATCTGTAAACGAAACTGGATCGCTTTTTGATACCATCTATGTTATAATCTTATTGGATTACAAATAAGATTGTATAAGCGACCTCGGTATAGCATCTCTTGCCCCCACGCATGCTGAATGTCAAAATCCGAAGCAGGCGGAGAAGAACTTTGGACAATTGTTAAGTCATTAATATCGCGATCCAAGGTACGAGTTTCTTCTAAGTAAAACATTTTCTATGCACAATCAGTTCAATTAAATTTCAAGTTAACTATACTGACTTGGTGGCGTATTATATATTTGGTAAATACAATTATACGAATGTTAATTTTTCACCAATTTCTCATCCACGGTGTCCCCAAATATTGGTGTATCGAATTCTGACATCCTATCCGAGAGGATTTGTGATAATTCCGACTTTATTTGCGTTGTTATGAAACTATAGTTTCACCGTATAAAAAAATCGACGCAGATGATACATTATTTTCGCATATTTCGATCTGCTGATTAATTTATCTCGGATGAGTAAAAATGAAAATTGTATATATTTTTCTTTAGAGATAGAATTTTTTACGTTCTACTTTTTAAGCTACATACATATTCTGTAAGATAATATATTAACCGTCCATGAAAATTAGTAAAATTTCATGAACAAAACAGCATTCGATGCTACGATACTACGAAATGTAATTATCAATATCTTGTAAATGACAGACTTTTCTAGCTGTGGAATTACCGATTGAGAGTTCTTAGTACATACAAATATATGCGACACAACGCTCTATGAGAAAGAACATGTAAATTATTATTTTCTAATGTATATGCGTCAACAGAGAGAATTTTGTTATGTCGGCAGATGTACTGTGTGTCAAAAGTTGTATGAAAGTGTCTAAGAGGGACGTAGGGAGAACTAGGCTCTCCGATGTCACATCCGCCTTAAACGTCCTACTGTGTAATATAACATCGAGTACATTTTAGAAATAAAAAAAAAAGACATTGAATCAATGGCTCTGTTTAATATGCACAAATTCCCAGATTTAAAGCGTTTAAAGGAATAAAAATATCGTTAAAACTTGCACGTGCGAATGGGACGAGAGTTCAACGACGATCGGATCGGAATCAATTTCAGGAATCAAGAAATGTTCATTTATCAAGGAAAAGATTAAAGATGAAAAAAGTCTTAGTGAAACATTTTTCAAAAAGCGCCAAGAGCGAGAGGAAACATGTAAGAAAAAATATATTAAAGAAATAATAAATTACTAATCAGGAAATAAATATTGTTTCAGTTATCTTGCGTACGGCCCACTAAGGATTAATATCGGTCGAGAAGCGTTCTGGATGATGGCATCTCAAAAGCACTTTCTGTGCACAATGAACGGTCCTAGCTCGTCGTACTCCTGCCTAGAGATCCACATCTGCTGGAACGTGCTCAGACTAGCGAGGATCGAGCCGCCTATCCACACAGAGTATTTCCTTTCGGGCGGCGCGATTACTTTGATCTTCATCGTGGGCGGCGCGAGCGCCGTTATCTCCTTCTGCATTCGATCGGCGATGCCCGGATACATGGTAGTGCCGCCCGAGAGCACCGAATTGGCGTACAAATCCTTGCGGATGTCGACGTCGCACTTCATGATCGAATTATACGTCGTCTCGTGTATGCCGCAGGATTCCATACCCAGGAAACTTGGCTGGAACATCGCTTCCGGGCAACGGAAGCGCTCGTTGCCGATCGTGATGACCTGGAATCAAACCGTTATCCGTTACGTCTTCGTCCACTGACCGCGCGGCTAGCCAACCCATGACGAGTTAACACTCGCTCGACGCAAATGCGCGCGATTAATGCTAATGAGCTTACACTACCTCCATTATCGTCATTCGTTACATTTAGATTACAGCTCTATCTGTACTTCTTTCTATTTATAATTCAGACATCATTTTCGAGTCAATGTAAATCAGCTCTGTAAAGTTCGCTAACTTTTAGCGGTCTGACTTAAAAATTTCGGTACAATTGCTAAAGTTCTGGCTCTTTCTCGAAAGACACTCGATCGTCTTTCTTAATAAAAGATACAGATTTGGTCACCGAGAAGTCTTCGCTTTGCGTCGATTACAAGAGATGCTTCAACGTTACCTGACCATCCGGTAACTCGTAGCTCTTCTCTAACGCAGTTGACGCAGCGGCTGTCGCCATTTCATGCTGAAAGTCTAAAGCTACGTAACACAGCTTCTCCTTGATGTCACGCACGATTTCACGCTCTGCGGTAGTTGTAAAGGTGTAGCCCCTCTCGGTCAGAATTTTCATCAAGTAATCTGTCAAGTCGCGGCCGGCCAGATCCAGGCGCAAAATCGCATGAGGTAAGGCGTATCCTGGAAAAAAAATGGAAGAAATATATTGCGACGTCAAATACACAACAGACATTGATTCTTTTTAGATCGTACGACACCAACGAGCATATCATGAGAAACTGAACGAAGAGAGAAATACCTTCGTAAATCGGTACTGTGTGGGACACCCCATCGCCGCTGTCCAGCACTATGCCAGTCGTACGTCCTGACGCGTACAAAGACAAGACAGCCTGAATGGCAACGTACATAGCCGGAGTGTTGAAGGTCTCGAACATGATCTGCGTCATTTTCTCGCGGTTGGCCTTAGGGTTCAGGGGAGCCTCCGTCAACAAAACGGGATGCTCCTCTGGCGCGACTCTCAACTCGTTGTAGAACGTATGATGCCAGATCTTCTCCATGTCGTCCCAGTTGGTGACGATACCGTGTTCTATAGGATATTTAACAGTGAGAACTCCCCGTTTACTCTGCGCCTCGTCGCCTACGTAGCTGTCCTTTTGTCCCATGCCGACCATAATTCCCTAAACATATTCTCGATTAGAACACAATTGGATATTTCATTGCGCAAATGCAACTCATCTATTAGGTACACCCATGCTTTGCATACCTGATATCGGGGTCTTCCAACGATAGAGGGAAACACAGCTCGAGGAGCATCATCCCCGGCAAATCCGGCTTTGCACATTCCCGAGCCATTGTCAATCACCAACGCGGCTACGTCGTCGTCGCACATTTTAGAATAATATTAAGCGGATGATTTTAGCAACGCGAATTTTCTTACAGCAGATAAATAAATAGAACGACCGAGAGAGACTAGATGTGTACAACGTTCTCGCGTGACATTGGCTTCTGAAGCATTGCGTTTCCTCCTAGAAGAGTTGTTGCTTTATATGAGCTCCCCTCCTTCCGCTCACAGATCCACGCACACACCCATGTCTTTTTATATGATGACTTCAGAAACGAACAATAATATTTCAAATTGACTCAACACCAATGGATTTTGATTGTCCATCAATAAACATAGAAAGGACACTTTCGTTTATTGTTAAAAGAAGACAAGTTGACTCTGGCTTTGGTAAAACCTGTTTATAAATTTGTAAATTACACAGTGAATGTATTAATAACGAGAATATAATCTGTAAATATAATACATAGCTTTTAACATAGTTAACATAGCACAGTTTTTAACATTAAAAATAACGTGCGCATAAATGATATGAATAAAACTATGTTTAAAAGTAGTGTTTCGCTCTTAGTATAATACAGAATATAATACAAGTACATATTACAATTGTGACTTTTTTGTCACCAGTACGTATTGTGAAAAGAAGTAAAATTTAATATAGATAGCATTCCTTTCGTGCGTTTCTTACCCTTTAGAGAAATATGTATGTATCTTTTTAAATAAAAGACTTAATTGCTGTTTAATGTATGCCAATTATAACTGGCAGCTACTGCTTATAGCGTTATCCTCAATAAATGCACGAAGTTCTCGCGGTAATTAGAGCATGCGTTTTCCTACGTTCCTGCATCGATCTCTCTACAATCTGCACTAGACTGCAAACATAACGCAAGAGGGTAATTTCATTTGCAAAAATTGTTCAAGCCAACAAATTTTATTCAAAGACAAAATTCCCTCCGTCATTCAAGTCTATTTAAAGATAGATGGCTAAATGACAAGTAAAATGAATCGAGCTAACAAGATTCGATCGCAGAACATAACTGTTATTCGTTCAACGAGTTCTCTCCATATACGCCAGAGATTGACAAAATTAAATAAGAAACGAAGGAAGTAAGGGAAGCTCGTAGAATTAACGGGCTAAAAAGTCTCAATTGTTCTAAATTGTCTCCCATAAGTGTGTGCACTTTTCTAAAAATAGATAATCGAAGTGCCCGGCGGTTTCACAAGACATATTTAGGAAACAACGTTACGTAGTTTTAGAAGAATGTGATACAATTATATTGGCCCTTCAAAAGTTGTTACCATGTGTTATAGAATTGTTCAATCAATCAATTTATTCTATCTATACATGTATGTACATCCAGACACACACATATATCAATTTTGATATGAACATATAACGCAAATGTGCTGTCTTATTCTATCTCATTCACATCGCTTCCAGGTAACAAGCTCTGTTCCTTTGAGAATACTTTACAAACCAACGTGCATTACAGAGAATCACTGTTCCATTGACTGATCGCCCACTAGAGCGATCTTTATAATTGCTGTATTACGCTCCTTAATTAACTGCTCGACTAATGATATTAATTAGGCTGTGAAATTAAGTACCCACTTCAGTCTGAAGTTTTTGCATAAACCACTCTTGATATTTTTAACATCAGAATGCTATATAGCGTAACATAGTAAAAAGGCCACGTATAAACAATTCGCGCAATCAATATGTGAAATACATAATTATGATTAGACAAGCGACTTAGCTTTATGCATACAGCTATATGCATTTATGTACACATGCACACACAACACGCGTATATTCACATTGAATTAACGTGAGATGCATGTCGGAATATATGTATATATACGTATTTGAAGGAATCAATTAAAACTGTAATAAATACAAGCATATTTTCAAGAATATAAAGAATGAGAAATATTGTAGATAAGTGAAGAATGGTACAAAGATAAAACTTTTTTTTTTTTTAATTATTCCGACAGGCACTTCCACGAGTGTGGATATCTGTTTAACTTTACCTTTGTACAAATATTACAAAAAAAAAGCAACGACGATTTGGAGATATGGATTTTCTTTCTAAAGCAATAATACTTAGTAAAAAGAATAAATTAGGAAGTAACAATTGCCAACGTTATAATTATTAACAGTCTTAAAGGCTCTACTTATCCCAGAGTCCGACTTCTTTCATGCGCGTTTGAAAGTACTTTTCCAAGGCATTGGCACAACGGTAATATTCAGTGTCAGGACTATTATACAATCTACAGTTGGTGAAAATCCGTGACATGTCCGCTATAAATAATCTCTTTATTACATAGTATCCCGTATTCAAGCGATCTTGCATCGTCTTGAGATCTACAACACGAATGGATATGTCGTTATACATTTTGGTTTGTTACATTCGGCCGATAACTAGATGATTATAGTATCATATACCTATTTTAATCAGTTAGATGTATAGGCACTTTTCTCAAGGCCCGTGTCCACGATGCTAGAATTCCAAGTTCTAGCATCGTGGGCGCGCACCTTTAAACTCACCCATAGGATATTTGATGTGATCGTAGTAATCCGGAACATCATTTTTATCTACAGGTTTCAAAAAAGGCCACGCTGTGGCGTGTTTCTTCACACTGTTCAATACACCATTTAGTGTATTACATAGTGACTCTGGCACATCTAAGCTCGTGTCCATTTGTTCTGGAGCTTGCATTCCTTTCGTCACGCCCCTCGTTCTAGTCTGAGCGCAACTTTTCCATCCAGTCTCGTGAATCCCCGGGATACACTCGATTGGGATTCCCCTTAAGCCTTCCTTAAAACACGTTAAGCCGGGATGCACTTTCTGTATTTCCTGTTGCCTTTGGTGAATCAGCTTTTTCACTATTTCCTTCTGCTTCCTAATAACTGCCGTAAATTCAGTATATACAATTTTTGGGTTTAGCTCGCAATGCATCAACGTTGCTCCCACGTAATATTTTATGTACCCCTGGTGCACCGTCTTGGGCAGTTTTATATCTTTGCTAAATCCCTGTTTCTTAAAGTATCCAATAGCAAAGTCATCCGCGAATGTAAGAAAATGCAGTATGTTGTTCTTAATGTGATAATCTTTCAACATATTCATCAAGTGTGTTCCATAGCCTTTTACTTGCTCGTGGCTCGTAACAGCGCAAAACACTATCTCTGTAAAGCCTTGAGTCGGAAACATACAAAAGCAAATCCCACCGATTGGACGACCATCCTTTATCAGAGCTAGTGTTTTATGCTTTCTGCAAGATAACAAATACTGTTTTATCGAATGTATTAGGTAAAATGATTTAACGCTTATTGTATTAGATTTGTGTCACTCACGGATCAAAAACAAGCTGAGTAATGTATTCTTTGGGCGTTCTTGGTAATTGATGACTGAACACATCTTGTAGCCCAATCAGCCAAAGCATGGTCTGCTTAGAGACTGGTCGCGTAAGGCTGTTTCCAATTACATGAAATTCTATTATCTTTTTACTTTCTTCTATCTTTGCGGTTTCGTCCCGTGGCACGTTCGGTGGAAACACTGCATCAGAACCAGACAGATAATTAGTGTCGTTAATAGATGCAACAATTTCAGCAATGGCCTCGTCCGGCAGATCCTCAAAAGTCTCGTCAGTTTTCCGCTTCTTTGCGTCGAGACGCCCTTCGGCGTTAGGACGCTTCTCCTGGATTTTCTTAATTCCAGGACTGATGTTTATCGTTGTAAAATTATCTTTCTCGTTCGGAGTGACAGTAACCTTTTCGAACTCGCCCGTTTTCCTTGCTTGAGCCTTTGATTCCAAGGCAGTTTGAAAGTGAGAAGGCGGAAGTTGTTTAAATTCAGGATCCCAAATGGGCGAATTATCCGAATAAATTTCTACTTCCAACAACGAAAGAAACCTTAAATATAAGAGATTACAATTCAGCTCGATGCGTCACCTGTGTATATAAAATGGAAAAGAAATTGGCAACATACTTAGGGAAATGCGTTAAGACCAAGACTCTCTTGTCCGGTGCAAGTTTGTCCCTTTCATTATTACACTTATCCATTAATTGTCTGCAAACTGATCTGAATACAGCTTGTAACAGGGTCTTGCCAAAAACCAGAGGAGTGTCGTAATGCGGCAACGAGTCGCAAAATGCAGGCACGTGGCAGAAGACGAGCCAGCGGGTATAATTAATTTTGTAGATAGAAGCCTCCTCCGCGCTAGTTGTCAACCGTCTGGCACTGGGTGCTTCGAAGTTCCAATAATTGAGGCAGTGTAAAAGCATCTTTGCCATATCGTACATAACCTGCCATTCTCTCGACGGCAAATGGCTAAATTTATAGAGAACAAAGTTCATTACTGCTTTTGCTATGTTGGGTCTCTCGAACGGCGGTTTCCCCAACGAGCCTTCCACGGCAGGCTTTGCCATAGTTAAAATACAGTTCCTCAACAATTTGTACAGATAAATATATACTTTCTTGGTATCGAGATCCGCCTCCCTGTGCGTGCACGCAAAAATATTGTCCGCGTCGATAGCCATACCCAACAATTTGTTGATTTCCAACTCGGACTGAACCGGCAGGTGCTTGATGTGATTTTCCAGAGGATGCGTACATATCTTGCACGGATCGAACAAGTTTATCACCGGCTGCTGTATCTCGCCCTTCGGCGACCTTATGATCGGTTGGGCGTTTTTCCAGCCCGTACACTTGCATTCCTCCGTCTGGCAGGCGCTATAATTCGCAAGCTTCAACAGTTTCTTCTCCTGCGGCCAGTTGTACGTCTGCTGCTTGCGCTGGTGTATCCTTTGGAGATTACTCGTACGGTTTACCTGGGCCTGCGGCTTAGCTGCATGCGCGTCTTTATTATTACTTTCTTGCTGCAAGATACTGCTGACAGGCTGACCAGCTTCCTCCGAAGAGGCTGTTGCCTGAGAGTTGACGTCCTCGGATGCCATTCTGCGAAACGTCACTGAAACATTCCTGTCATATTCCTCTAAACAAATGCCTACCTATAACCAACAGAGCCAGCCGTATATCATTAATCATTCATCGTAATAACATTTTCAACCAACTCACGTCAATTTACACGCGCATTACAAGTGCATTCTCCAATACAGGGCAATTCGGTCGCAATTTTACGTTAATCAAGTCGCTTCTACTCGCAACGGTACACTTTGTTCAATTATTCGACAATAATATCCAGATATTAATAAACGATTACGATATCCGTACAATTGTCATGCCGTCATAAACCAGCTTTCTCTAAAATTCTCTATAATTTGTTATGTTATTATTATGTTGATATATACAGGACAGTTTTTTTTTCTCCCTTTACGGGATCGCCGTCGTCATATACAGTACAGTTTTTCACAGCTCAGGGGGTCTGTTCCCTTTCACCTGGCTGCACTAGTTCAGAGCTTATCTCTCTCTTTCCAATGGGGAGGAAGAAAGATCAACTCTGAACCAGTGCAGTCAGTTCAGCTGTAAAGAACAGACCTCGGGTTATATCACAGCGTTGTGTGCTGCTGTATCAGGAAATGCGGCAACGTTATGAGATAATGCATGTCCATACGCAATGGCCAATCGTTTTCCATTTTTCTCAGACTAATGGTATATACCGAGCGTTGATTGGCTGTCGCGTGAGTTTAGTGGTCTGAAATCTTTAGATTTAAAAAAAATTCTTACTCTCGATTCCAGTTTTCGTATTAAATAAAAATTTGTTAGATCCGAAATTTTCACTACTCTAAATTTATATATGCAATATCAAGTTTTGTATTATAGAAAAGAAAGAAAAGAAAAAAATGTGTCCCTTTATTCATAAATTAATAATTTAAATAAAATTAAAAGTATTGGCAACTATCTCAAGCAGCTTATAGAAGTAACAAATAATGAATACAAATTTAACATTGTTTTGATACTTTGTATATTATATCACAAGACACTTGAAAAGTCTACTTGTCCCATAGACCAATCTCTTTCATACGCGTCTGAAAATATTTCTCCAGAACATTCGCGCAATGACAGTAATCGGTATCGAGACTATTGTACAGTCTACAGTTTGTGAAAATTCGTGTCATATCTGCAATAAATAATCTTCTAGTTACATAATATTTAGATTTCAAACGGTCTTCCATAGTCTTGAGATCTGCAATATAAAATATCATGTGTCATTAGTCTCTAATTTATTATTAAATTTTCTCATTTGAATATTATTTACTTTACATAATAATTGATTCCAAAGTGGTTCGATCGTTTTAAAACGTATATCTTTTTGCTCACCCATTGGATATTTTATATGATCATAGTAATCTGGAACCTCATCTTTCTTCACAGGCTCCAGAAATGGCCAAGCTGTGGAATGGCTCTTGACGCTATTCAAAACATTGCTCAAAGCGTTAGAAAGAGACTCGGACATGTCCATGCAGTCTACAAGTTCTGAACCTTGCGTTCCTTTAGCCACACCTCTCGTTCTCGTCTGAGCGAAATTCTTCCAGCCGGTTTCGCGAATTCCCGGAATGGATTCGATAGGAATACTTCTTACGCCGTCTTTGAAGCACGTTAAACCCGGATGAACTTTTTGTATTTCCTGCTGCTTCTGAGCAATTAATTCCTTGATGATTTCTTTTTGTTTCCTTAGTACCGCTGTAAATGCGGTGTACACTATTTTAGGATTCAAATCACAGTGCATCAGTGTCGCTCCTTCGTAATCCTTGATGTATCCTTGATAAATTGTCTTGGGCAGCTTGATGTCTTTACCAAATCCTTGTTTTTTAAAGTATCCGATGGCATACTCATCCGCGAACGTGAGAAAATGCAGTATGTTGTTTCTAATGTGATAATCTTTCAGTATGTTCATTAAATGCGTTCCGTAGCCCTTCACTTGCTCTTGACTCGTAACAGCGCAAAACACTATCTCAGTGAAACCCTGAGCAGGAAAGGTGCGGAAACAAATACCGCCGATTGGACGATCGTCTTTTATCAGGGCCAACGTTTTATGCTTCCTGCGTGACAAACAATAGACCGTCGCTAGATAAATTCTTATATAATAAATTAACATATTATTTTTCAACAATACTCACGGATCAAAGACGAATTGAGATATATATTCTCTGGGCATTCTGATTAATTGATGGCTAAATACATTGTGTAATCCTATTAGCCAAAGCATTGTTTGCTTAGACACAGGTTGCGTCAGACTATTTCCGATAACATGGAACTCTATGATCTTCCTGCGCTCTTCAATTTTCGCAGTTTCGTCTCGTGGAAGATCCGGAGGAAATACCGCGTCTGGGCCACACATGTTCTTGGGGTCATTAATAGTCGCGACAATTTCAGCGATAGTTTTGTCTGGCAAATCCTCAAAAGCCTCTTCGCACTTGCGTTTCTTTGCATCCGGTCGTCCTTCGAAAGAACGCTTCTCGGGAAGCCTCCTTATCCCGGGACTAATATTTATCGTGGTATAAGTATCTTTTTCGTTCGGTGGGACGGTGACTTTCTCAAATTCGCCAGTCTTTCTTGCTTGCTGCGCCTTCGATTCCAGGACAGCTTGCAGATGAGCCGGCGGTACTTGTTTAAATTCAGGATCCCACATGGGCGAACTGTCGGAATAAATCTCAGCTTCCAGCATCGAAAGAAACCTTAAATACAAAGAGTTATGTAGTAGCTGGTAAAATTACGCAGGACGAACATTGAGCGAAAGAGAATTCAATGCGTACTTGGGAAAGTGTGTTAGAACTATAACTTTCTTCTCCGGCGTTAATTTATCTCTTTCAATGTGACACTTATTCACTAGTTCTCTACAAAGTGGTCTGAATACTGCTTGCAGGAGAGTCTTCCCGAATACTAAAGGAGTGTCGTGATGTGGTAAAGAGTTACAGAATGCAGGCACATGGCAGAAGACTAGCCAGCGGGTGTAGTTGACTTTGTAAGCAGCGGCTTCTTCCGGACTGACTGTTACTTGTCTGGCACTGGGCGCTTCGAAATTCCAATAGTTCAAGCAATGCAATAACATCTTTGCCATGTCGTACATAGCTAGCCAATCTTTTGGCGGCAAGTGGCTAAATTTAAATAAAACAAAATTCATCACTGCTCTCGCTATGATAGGTCTTTCGAATGGTGGCTTTCCGAACGGGCTGCCTTCTAGGGTTGGCTTTGTCATAGTTAAAATACAATTCCTCAGCAACTTGTACAAGTAAAAATAAACCTTCTTAGTATCGGGATCCGCTTCTCTGTGTGTACACGTTAAAATGTTGTCCGCGTCGACAGCCATTCCCAATAATTTGTTGAGCTCGACAAATTGAGCCGGTAAGTGCTTGACATGATTTTCTAGAGAATGAGTACACGTCTTGCACGGATCGGAAAAGGTGATAACAGGTTGCTGTATCTCGCCCTTCGGCGACCTTATAGGTGGCTGTGCGTTTTTCCAGTTTATACATTTGCACTCCTCCGCTTGGCAAGCACTGTAGTTGGCGAGTTTTAACAATTTCTTTTCCTGTGGCCAGTTGAGCGTCTGCTGCTTGCGTTGGTGTATCCGTTGGAGATTGCTCGCCTGAGTCTGTGGTTTAACCGAGCTTGTATCCTTGTTGTTGCTTTCCTGCGAGGTACTGCTAACAGGCTGTCCAGTCTCTTCCGAAGAAGCTGACGCTGCAAGAGAATTGACGTCCTCGGATGCCATCCTTGGAAAAAAATCAGGTTGGTCATATCGAGAATTGGATAAGCCACTCCCTAGCCGCATCAAAGTTTCCAAGGCGGAGTAACGTATCTACGCTTGTAAACTTACCTTAGAAAACTTTTCGTCTCGATACAAACAACATAAGTTGCAATTTCGTGCAAATCTAAGTTAATCGCGCTTTCGTTTACAAATAATTTCTTATCGTTGGCTCACGCATGGAGTAATGAGCATTTGACAATCTTTTCGATTGACTGGTCCATTACGACGAGTTATTCTTCTGCTATTATAGCCACGTTTTCTACAATTTGTTAGTATCGTTGATTTAAAAGACAATGCTCCGACCAGGGTTAAGTTAGGTTGGGTTATGGCTGCGTTCGCTTTGGACGCTTTGGACCACGGTGTAAAGATACAAGGCGAAGCAATCCGGTGGATGCGCAGTGCCAACCAATCAGAAACTTGCCTCGACCTTGAAACTACAAATCATTGCGGTTGAATGCAGCAAGAACTAAGGAACGATTTGCCCCCAAAAATTGGTTACATGCGCAATGTTTCACCTTGTATCTTTACACCATGCTTTGGACGCTCGCGGCGTTGACGCGCTATCCTTCTTCGACGCATAATGAGCGACAAGGATGCGCGTGTGTGAGCGCAGGCCGCAGAGTCAATCATTTGGTGCACACACCAACGCGTCCAGGTTGCTAGGTGCGTGTGAGTAGAGCATCAAGAAATTTGTGTATTGCTACATTAAGAAAGTATTACTGTGCTTCCAAAAAAAAAGTAAACATTTACGAGAGGAAGGGCAAAAATCGCCAGGTTTCAGGGGCAAATCACGGAACAGCTGGACACAATTCGCTTCTGCGTTTAGTGACTTGAGTTAGGAATCCATAGCAGTTTTACCTCGCCTTGCACGAGAAATGGCAGAGAATGTTGGAAGGGAAACGCCACCGATTTACAGCGAGGAAACCAAGACTGCGGGACAACCGCTGTCGGATTTCCTGTTGCAACTGGAGGATTACACGCCAACGGTATCGATCTATTTTCTTCTGTTTTCGCTCGAGAACCAAATTATGTTTACGTGTCCCATATCGGACACGTTATATATGTTGTAATTTTTATGTATTGTACATTCTTTAACGTTAGATACCTGATTCCATCACCGAGCATTACTTGCACACAGCTGGTTTCAACGCTACCGATCCTAGGATGTAAGTATGGGTTTGTTTTCTGTTCCTGCACTGGTGAACTAGTGCAGTAAGCTAGAATGAGAAAAAATATGCTTGTCTTACTCCAATTTATTGCACTAGTTCACTAGTGTAGGAACAGAAAACAAGCCTAATGTTATTTAAATCAAGGGTTAAACGGCTGACCAAAATCATGTATCTACACCAATGCCTACTAATGCCCTTATTTTATCTTATTATTTGGAGGGGATGGTAATATTTGTTCTCTATTGCAAGAACGATACATTCTTATTGCTTTAGAGTACGCCTGGTGTCCTTGGCAGCGCAAAAGTTTATCTCAGAAATTGCCAACGATGCGCTACAGCATTGCAAGACACGCGGCGCTAATCAGAATTCAAAAACAAAGGGAAAAGACCGACGTTATACTCTTACTATGGAAGATCTGACACCAGCGGTTGCGGAATATGGCATAATAGTGAAAAAACCACATTATTTCGTTTGATCGCTTTACAATTTGATACGTGCACTTTGTTAAATCACATCGATGCAATTAACAATATGGAAATGCATCTTGGAAGAGTCTGAGCTAAAGTCTATCTTGAATAAAAATGATATATTGTTATGTAAAGAAAAGGAGTTCAGGACTACGTATGTTTTAATTTGAATGCAATAAATATAAATATCTTATTAATGTAGTAATATTAATAATATACTTGTATTAATAAAACATGTATGTATAAAATATCTAAACAGTTCTACTTTGTTAAGAACAACGCTATTGTATGAGTAAGTCTAAACGTTATAGTTTCGTGTAATTATAATGCATGGTTACGTGGATATACATCTTATTATATCATTGTATCATTGTGCTAGTGTTTTTGTAAGAAATTAAAAAGTAAATTCAATAAAATGTCGACAATGCAATAAAATTGTGCCTCCTAGAATACTGGACATGTCACGTACATCTTACTCGATTATTTTCCCCTGATACTATATCGAGATTTTGAAATTAAAATTTTTGTCACCAAGGTATGTTGGCAAGTTCAGGAATTTTTGTTATCGACGACTGATTAAGTAAACGGCGACTTTACCCAAGTTCCACATACGTTCGTATAGGGCGACATCTTGTGTACGAAGAGATTCGTAAATCTGCAGAAATATAAAGTCCCATAAAAAGTGATGTAGTCAGTTGAGGACTGATCGCGAAGAGGCCGGTTTCTAAGCGGCGTTAGTCAGTTGATGGGCCCATCCTTCGCTAAACAGAGTAGCGTCAAAATGAACAAGTACGTATTAACGTTATTTTACGTTAATTAACCTCCACTTAACCACCTGCATTTGAAACACGCTAAACAACCTAACCTAACGGTTGACGGCGTCCCCGTAGAGGGGAAATAAAAGAAACTTGCATTTTACTTTTTAAAATAAATTCCCCCTCATGGGAACGCCGTCAACTATATAGCGCACTCTGTCCTCTTAACTTCCTTTCTTACCGTCTTCCCTGTATTCTTATCCTTTCTTTACCCTACCTTTACGGCCATGTGTCCTCTGGGCGTTATTAGTCGCCTCTCACCACACGGAAGGCTATACGTGAAAGGTTTTACATGAAACGTCTTTTTGCCTGAGAACAGAGACCTGAAGAAAGATGCCAAGCAAGAGCAGTCGAACAGTAGTGCGCGACCATTGTCCATCGAAGGCCCCTCAAGCTCTAATAACGAGCAAACCCCACCGCAACCGTTACCGGACCAACCGAGGCAGCCAACAAACATGCAAGGGTTGCTCAAATACGCTATGAATGTGGCAAAGTCCGAGAACTCGGAAAATAAGCCAGTTTATCCGTTGGACGACCAAGTATGAAATTTATTTAATTTCTTTAAAATCTCTCACAAGAACCTCTCAAAATTGATACTTTTCTGAACACTTCTTCATTTGTTTAGTAAGCAGCGCACATTTCTCTGCGCCACGATCGCCACTCGTTCATGTCTAAGGGCCTGTGTCCACGATGCTGGAACTTGGTCCAAGTTCTAGTTTCGAGAAACGTGTGGCCAATCAACTTACAGTTATTCCATAAAAGCTGCACGTTGATTGGCCACGCGTTTCCCGGAACTAGAACTTTGACCAAGTTCTAGCATCGTGGACACAGGCCTTAATGAATGTGTTTATATGTTGCAGAAAAAGACATTCTTGAACGAGGCATTGTCATCATTAACGGTAAACGTAATAGAGGAATTGCAGAAAGCTGTAAAAGTCCTGACCAATGTCACTAATCTACGAGCGGACGATGATTCGTCGGAGTACGAGAGTGCATTGGAAAGGATGGCGGATTTCGTGGACAATATCGACATAGCCAACGACTTGTATAACATTGGGGGCTTCTCGATACTTCAACCATGCCTGAATTCCTCGCACAGTAACATTAGATGGCGGATAGCTGATATCATCGCCGAATTGGCGCAAAATAATCCATTTTGCCAAGACAAGTTGCTAGAAGCCGGAGTATTTCCTGTGCTGCTGTCTATGATCGATACAGACCCGTCGGAGCAGGCCAGGATAAAAGCTTTGTACGCGGTGTCATGTAAGTGACGGAAGGGCACGAGGCTCGGACTTTATATCTCATTGGTTATATTTTAAACACAGGTATAGCCAGGGGCAATCCAGCGTCGTTAAAATATATGGATAGGAACGATGGTTACTCGGTGCTTTTGCGAGCGATGCAAAGTCCGGTGGAGAAACTGCAGATAAAGTCCGCATTTTTGCTTTCCAGCTTGTGCAGCAAGGATAATTCGAATAACGTAAATAAACAAGTAAAATATACCTTGGTAAAAATGGGATTCGTGGAGCAAGCAGCGGGATTGCTGGGTAGAATGAATTTACAACCGGAAGTGAGGTAACGCAACCGTGACATTTTAAGGAGACGCGTGCATTTCTTGTATTTTCCTCGCATCCGACATAAATCGAGTATTACGTTTATCGTAGGGAACAACTGCTGAGAGTGCTCAGTAGTATGGTGAACGATAACTTCCTACCGGCGCTGAAGGAATGCCGGCGATCGCAGTTGTTTTTAAGATCCACTTTGGAGCAATTGTTGACAGAATTGAAACCTGTGGAAAATCAGGACGAGATAGACATGTGCGCCGAACTCCTGGACAAAGTGTTTTCCGAGCCTGATACAAGTCAAGAGAGATAACGAATTTGTATCGATCTTTTCGCTTAATAAACACAACATTTGTCTAACCGGTTTTAAGTAATTTACAGGAATGTGCGTATAGATGATAACTAAATGTAGTAAATAAAACTGATTCTTGTATGTGTCGAGCAAATCGATCGGAATATTTTGTTTCGCAGACCAATGTTTGTAAGACCAATCTTGTGTTTCGCGACTACCAGCCCAAGCACAATTGACGAAATTTGTTTTTAAAATCTTTCACGTTCCGAATCGCGTATGCGCGTAATAACTTCCTGCATTTTAAACACGCGCGTACGAGCCAATTGTCGTGAACTTGGATAATACGAATCGGCGTTTCTCCAAATTGATCCGATCAACGGAATGCTCACGCACGTCCGGTGCGTCAATCGGTCGGCTCGTTTCATCATCCATCCCCCACCACGATCTCTCTGCTGGCGTGTACCGCCTTGTACTCGACTCTTCTCCGTCTTCCCACAGTCCGCCGTGCTCTCTCCCGACACCCTTCTCTTTTTCTCCTGTTGGCGCGGGCCCGGTTCTAGTTAACCAAATGTTAGCCGGTTGGCACAGTCAGCCGGCAGCTTTCGCACTGTTAACTCGTCCTTCTTCCGGGATCCTCCAAATGTCGGGAATACTTGAGCATACGTTCGCTGGAGATTTTGCAACAGTTGTTGAGAGATTGACTTTTTTGGAGCGGATTTCCCTGACCGACTTGATCCAAGATCGATCTTGAGGTTCCAGGCATGAAACGGACGACACGTGGTCAGGATGACGGGGAAAAAGAAGCATCTCGTAGTTAAGGTATCCCGTCGAATACGCGAACCGCCCAGCGAATTAGTAAATTGAAATCTCCGCGAAGAATTCAGACGCGTGCACCAGCGCGATGATCGAGGATTGATTCGGCAATCGGTGTCAAAAGTGAAACCTGCTTGATAAACATCGAAAAAGACCCGACAGAGACCTCTTGGCGATCTGCTGCAACTGAAATGAACATTGTAGCTAAATCTTCATTTCGATGGAGAAACATTTAAACTGATTGAAATTAATTCCAATTGAAACGGATTTTTCATCGAGCGAGACGGACTCGGGAGTATCCAAACTTTTACAGAAACTGAGAAACGCAGTGTAAAGGTGTATCGATACATGTCTTTTAATTATGAAGAGAGTAAATGAAATGAATTCTCGACGGCAAATGTAGTATCGTAGAATGTGAAGCTGATAGTGTCCTACCTGAAGATGAGCTAAGAAAGTGGCGAAGGTAGGACAATTATAGAGGGAAGAAACACAGTTTTTATAAGTATTACTTAGCCACTTGAACGCTACCAGAGACGAGATAAGAAAGAAATAAGGAAAAAAAATAGGGCAGAAATACGCGATAGAGAGACTTGCTCGTTGCTCGACCTTCTTTTTTTGCCAGATAGCACGGAGATGAATGGTACGCAGGAAAACGAACTTTGGATATTTGGATACGGGTCGCTCTGCTGGTATCCCGGTTTCTCGTACAACAAAAGTACAACCGGCTATGTGAAGGGCTACAGCAGGCGATTCTGGCAGGGCAACACTACGCATCGTGGAACGGCCGAAAAGGTGAGCCAAATTGGTATTTTCCTTCAGTTTTTCCATTATTCCTTGTCAACTATCGCCGAGTACCACCTTCGTCACCCTCAGCAAGAAATGATTTGTCGATCGATGTCGAATCGACATCGTCTCGACGAATCATTTCTCATTGGTATAAGAGGCGTGACATTCTGATGTTATCTTTATACGCGAAATATCGCAAAATGCCCCAGGAACGTTTCTAATGTCATTTCTTTACATTTGAGAGTCCCCAACTAATTCGTTTCAACACGTTTTTAAAACGCGACATAACGCAAAAAGCGTCCGACCGATGAAATCTGAGACGGTGGCCGAACAATGTAATTTCATGTTTGAATAATCGGAATAATGAATTCATTTCAGAAAATGTCACAGATGTTATCTCGACGGGTATAATGAAATTGCACGTTTGAGACACGATCGCTTGCCAGAGTTAATACATTATACTACACATAGAAGAAAGTCGTCTATTATAAGTTATGAGATAGGATTTTACATGAGATAGTAGGTTTTCGACGTCCGAATTAAATGGCAAATCTTCTTTCGCAACGATTACACGATCTAACAATTTTCCACTAAAACAGATTTCACTCCAAGGGCAGTAAATTCATGCTGGAACCAACAGACGATGCCTATTCATTTAGCAGAAACTCCGCTGTCTCGTATTAGGAGCCTATCCCATAATAGGGAGACTTTTTCTCTACACTTAATTTACGCTGCACACGCTTTACATATTCGGTACATGTTGAAAAGTTGTTGCTGTAATACGATAAGCATAAAAATTATTAAAACTTTAAGATATATTTTATTGGCCTTACTATCACTGATACTGTTTTACACGTCAGCTCGCGGCGCGTACTAATGCTTGACGACGTTCATCTTCGGTTCACGTGATAATAAAGATCGTAGCAGCTGTATACGGACTTTGGATAAAGCGAACTTCTGCGGCAACGACCCTATCGATACGATAAAATAGCAAACGAAATCCCGTGACTATAAAGAAGAACATATAGTTATCCTTGACGGGATATATATTCGCAGTATTTGTAATACATTTTTGCGTACGTAAATATGTGCCATGCTTTTTGCGCGTGATTTTTATTTTTAGTCATTTACGAACCCTATTAATATCCGAATTTTATTGCGCTCGCTCGTGTACGTACAATACATATGCCGTGCATTCTTTTCCTCACGCTGGCCCGATTCCAAGCATACGATACATTTTTTGCGACATTGATCATTTGTACGCGCTCGACTCGGCTCGATAAGAGTCCGTCGACACGTACGTGATCATTTTGATATCATTTTGATAAAATTACGCGGAATTTGTGGAACCCCAATTCGCACGTGCTTCAAATAAAAATAGCTTAGGTGCTCGAGATTTATTTCTGTCTTCCCTTTGTTTCAACATGCACAAGAAAACTCGCGTGTTTTGTCATCTTCTCCTTTGTTTTCTTTTATCCGTTTTCAACGGAAAAACGATATAAAACATATACGTAATTATTATTATCAATGTGTAATAAATATAACTGTCTGGAATTAATTATCAATTACAAATCAAGTTTATAAAAGCGACTATTTAGTTGTTTTTATTTAGATGTAAGATACATAGAGACTATCTTACATTTCTAGAATGTCCTCGTAAGAAGTTCTCTAATTGTAAAAGTCATGTTTTTCCCTTTTAGGGAAGAGGGGACGAATGAATGTTGCGGTCATGCGTTTTGTATTACACTTACGTATAAATTACGCGAAACTGTATACAACCAGTTACAAACCAGTAGTAACTGATATCTTCAATGAGAGATAAGCTCCGTTGCTTATTATTCCTTGCTTTGCATTTTGCAACGGTGCGATATTTTCTGCTTATATACAAGCTTGTATTACATGATATGCAAACGCACGCAATATAATAATCTAATCTTCTAATACAAATTAAATGCTATACATCTGTCGCCAGGGAATTGTTCTATGTATATATAACAAATTTCGTGTCACATCCAAGATTTTCAAACATACAAACTACCAGGTAAAAAATGTTCATACATGAGCATGCATAAATATACAGTATTATGTATAAAATTATACACGAAATATAGCCATACATATTTTTATACTATATATTTCTATACAATTCTACACAGTTCTATATAAATTTATAGATTTATACGTACTTTTATATGAAAAATTTTTTAAGGGAAAAAATTGCTGAGCTTATAATTTTTCGCATAAAAAATTGTTTCGTATAAAAGCATGGATAAATCTGTAAAATTATACAGAACTGTGTAGCATTGTATAAAATTACATAGAAATGTACAACGTAAAAATATGTATGGACATATTTGATGTATAATAATTCTTTATATTTATTCATGTTCATGCATGAAAAATTGTTTACCAGGTGATTCAACCAATTAATAAAATTCGTAAGACTCTCGTGTGATAAACACAAATTCGAAGGAACGAAGGACTAAAGAGCCGTGACAGGATGTTAGCGTCGGAATAATTTATTTTAAATATAAAACTAATTCGGTTCTTCTCAAATGATTTCGTAATCTCTCAATAGGATCGGGTATATTACATCACTGTTCCTTTTATGTTGCAGCCTGGGCGAGTGGCCACCCTAATCGAGGACAAAGAGGTACTTAATTTCATATTACAATCGCGTATATTATATTGCCGCAATACAAATCTCGATCATGGGAATTACATGCAAGATATAATTTTTTTTTTATTCGATGACAGGCTGTAGTTTATGGACGAGCGTTTCAACTTCAAGACACTGAGGCGTTATCCTATTTAGAGAGCCGCGAGTGCGTTTTAGGAGGATACCTGACGACCGTCACGACATTTCACAGCCGGGACGGGAATAAGCAATTCCCTGTAGTAATTTACATCGCCACCAACAAGAACGAGCAGTGGCTCGGCGAGGCATCGTTGCAGACTATAGCGCGTCAAATTACCGAATGTTCCGGTTCGAGCGGACATAACGTCGAGTACCTCTTGCGGTAAATGAGATACATAATGTAAAATTGTTTTCTAAATTCGTATATTATTGTCCGGCACGTCGATAACGTTACGAATTATATAATAAGACGATAAGAGAATTTGTTTGATTTGTGTGACAGCTTGGCGGAGTTTATGCACCGTTATTTGCCGGAGGCACATGACGAGCACCTCTTCACGCTGGAAATATTGGTGCGTTCGCAAATAAAGGAGGAGAGCATGTGCTTGGCGATGCTGATGGGAAATCACGACTTCGTCATCGACCTCGACGAGGACGCGGAATCGGCCGTCCGCGCCGAGGAAGTTAACGGGCGACCCCGGGAGAACTCTTTTCAATTCAGCACGCGGATTCCGTCCAAGAGCTTGCGTTGCGTAAAAATGTAGCCAATGAGATTGCACAGTTGTGTCTTTCAACTTTGACCGCAGATCGAAGAAATGGAGGAAGCGGCAGCTTACTTCCTTATGAGAGAGAATCATCCCTGTTTAAAATAATTTCTTACGTGAAAATTCAGAGCCGCGGACTTTGCATTGCAGTATCCCTACTCGTGGGGCATGTGGGACAACAATAGAAACACTTTTATTATGCAAACCGTACCCAAGCTATCGCTTGAGTGCACTTAGAAGTTGGTCGGATCTGCCGTTGTTGAGATCCGAAAATCTGTGGGCCTGTCAACTCGCGTAAACTACACGGTCGGTCTCGCGCACGCGGTTCTAGCGAGCTTATACTTGACACTACCGTGTCTCGTGATAGATAGAATACGATTAGATTACATTAGATTGTAATGCAGTTTCAATGTAAATTAACAGGGCGTCCAGTGGTCAGGGAAATCTGGAAAACCGGGAATTTTAGAAATTTGGAAATGTCAGGAAAAAGTCGGGGAAATTTTTTCATTGAGTTTGCTGGACACTGATTAATAAGATTATATTTACATCGAAATTGCACGTAATCTAATGTAATCTGATCATATTCTAATATTTTAAGCAGGGATGCAATTCAAGTACAAATTTCCATATAAATAAAAGTGCGTAAATTAATAGCGAGATCACAATTCTTGTAGAGACATTGAAAGAATCTTAAATTAGAGAGACAAGTAACTAACTGAAAGAAGAGAAGTATAAAGAAAAGAAGCTATCTATTAGCCTCTAAATTTAAAAGGCAGTTAGCTGCAAATTTCTTTGGGAATATGATCTCGCTACTGATATACATCTTCCTTGGGGGATGTTTGTGAGACGGTTGCGCAATTTTGTATCGTCCAACGAGCTGGACACGTGTACATTTGGAATTTCTTTACTACTTTAACATAGACAGCATTATCTCTCTTATTATTTTAATACACTAAGAATTATAATCGCCAAGTTGCGGATAAAAATATAAACGAAATACTTTTTTTAAATAAATTAAAACAGTGAACTTATTGTTAACTAGCAAATTTTATTGAATTTGCTACAACGTTTCGACCTTACTTCAGATCCTTTTCAAGTAACGATACAAATAAGAAAACGAGAAAAATTCATGGACAAGTACAGAAGCTGTGACTATTATATAATATTTTTTATTAATATACAAATGAAAAATCACATTGTAAAAGTAAATCTGTCGATCAATTACAAAATCCCTGCCTACCCGAATTTCTACTATTAAATATATCCCATACAGCACAGCAAGGTTTCAGCAACATTTAGCAGTAATTTATCGCAAGAGTGCAACATTGCAGCAACGGTAAAATGTTCGCCTTCAGAAATATTGCAATGTAATATTACAGCAACATAACGATATAATGTATGCATAATATATGTTTTCTCGAAGCGCGGTGTGCTTCACTTCTCTTTTAGATCTATAGTAAATGAAGACTTGCAATTTAGAAATATACATTTGTATACACCAACTCGAAGTAAACTCTCTAATCTTAGTAATTAGAATTTAAGTAACAACGATTTTTGCTTCGAAACAATGGCTGTGTTCTCCAGAAGTTAGCGCTTAATAAGCGCTTTATGCTGATTGGATAGATCTAGAAGAATAGCTCTATTTCAGCACAGATCTGAAAGTATAATCCAATGAACGCAAAGCGCTTAGCAAGCGCTAACTTCTGCTGGACACAGGCAATTTCTCGGTTGAACAGAGTTGGTCGTATTTAATAAATACCAACAAGTCCGCAGAATGATACACAAAACGTACAATAGTAACAGTCGGGAACAAAAAAGACCGAATTCCAACGTTCGTAGTTGGTTTTTCTCTCGGCGCGGTGACGTACGATGTTTTTGTGCCATCGTGTACTACCTGAAGGTTGCAGCGGTCTCACTCGCTCGCCGAGCGTCGAGCCGGCAAGCAGTGGCGAGAGTCGCTCCGTGCGTCGCGTCGTAATTCTTTTGCCGTATCGGACTCCAAGACTCGATCGCGATTAATGCAGGGATGAAAAACGCTATTGATCCGCACAACCTTTATTAGTAACAAGTAACGTTCCTCGATTAACTATTAACTTTCTACAACTTGCAATGAGAAACGAATTGTACGTTGAGGCGACGGCTCTTTACGAACGTATGCATGGATATTTCACGAGACTAACTCATCTAAAATATCGATGTAAATCGTGGTACTTTGTCGCGATTACATCTCGTTTACATCTCGTTTACGCACCGCGCTTTTAATTATCTATCGTTTTCGCGTAGTCTGTACCATTTTCGGGAGAAGAGAGAAATTTGTGCGACTTCGGCGTTCGCGCTGCAACTCGCTCTGTCGTTGTTCGCAACTCGAACGGGCAGGGAGTAAAGAAAGTCGCTTATCGCGCGTCGTTACATTATGTAGATGTACTTGAAAATTATCTCGATTAACTGTTGCAATTAATAACAACTATTTATATCGCTTCCGATGCTCGCGTTGTGTTTTATTTCGCCAATTCATATCCATTCTTCCGAATCAAAAATGCAAGTTAGGTTAGTTTGAGTAATTTGTGTAGCAGAAAGCGATACTTGTTAATAATATTTGGTGCGTTTCGCGGTATTTCACATCGCGTACGGGAGCGCCGGAAATTTCGCGCGATCGATGATTATCGCGAGCGAGTGTTGTGTAAGTGCACAAGGAAATCTGAGAGGACGTGGCGGCCTATAGGGGGGCATCGGGCAATGGCAGAAAATCGGTGAGGTAAGTGTCTTACATTTTCATGTTATTTGCTACTTGTGCGAAATAAAGCATCTGTTGTGTTTTTATTTGACTTATTCAATATATAAAATATGAAGTATATTTAATACAACAATTTCGATTTTACACAATTAGTCTATATTAATCATATACATATTTGTATTTTTACAGTTTAACATATACAAGTTAACGATGTACAACTCGAATCTGCTGTTGCGAATAAGTGAGTGATAAATTACTTTTTATTTTAAATTGACGTTGCGACAATTACTTCTTTGCATGCATACCAATTCTTAAAAATATACAATGCTCAACTACTAACTGCGCGCGCGAAGCGCAAGACATTGGCTGCGTAGTTCATGGGAGCTTTCCAGCAAGCGACACAAGTCGACACAAATGTCGTTCTGTCTTTCGTCGCATTCAATGAATAATAAAGACAGAACGACACTTGTGTCGACTAGTGCCGCTGGAAAGCTCCCCATGTCCACATTTTCAATGGCTGTGTTCTCCAGAAGTTAGCGCTTAATAAGCGCTTTATGCTGATTGGATAGATCGAGAAGAATAGCTCTATTTCAGCACAGATCTGAAAGTATAATCCAATGAACGCAAAGCGCTTAGCAAGCGCTAACTTCTGCTGGACACAGGCAATGTCCACAAAAGGCGTATCGCGTTCGAGGATCACGTAAAACCGGGCCGTGGCAGTTCTTAGGCCTCTCTCTGGGCTGCTTTCGCGAGAAGATCAAAATGATCCAGATTAAAATGACGTGCTACGACTGGTCAAATCTGAAATTTCGTAGCATATCACATTGAAATTTTATTCAATGAAATTTCAGATTTGACCAATCATAGCACAACGTCATTTTAATCTGGATCATTTTGATCTTCTCGCGAAAGCAGCCCTGATAATATGTTTAAAATTTGAAGACAATATCCGTATGAGATAAGAAATAACACATAGTGTCAAAGTTCGTTGATCATACGTCGATAAAATAGTGAGAGTATCGTTGACTGTCGATCGATATGCTAGCAACTTTGCGTTTCATCCAGCGATAAAATAGCCACCTTCTCTGATATTGTTGCAACAATTATATACATTACGGTTTTTTACATACAACTGATTTTTATCTTGTGCGAAAATATATGTTTTGTACATATGTTTTCATTGAACTTATCTCGAAGTCTAGTAAAATATGATATTTCACCTATAACCGATCATTCTACCGGTGAAAATAACGCGTAAAGGGAAATTTTACGTAGCTATATTTTGATTTTCTCGAAACACGTTCGATCCGCCGAGAAATTTATGAACGGTACATCATAATATGGAACAGTCATTCATCCAGCCGCTTAGACTCTCCATGAATATTAGACTGACCATTCTACGGAACGTTGCGCCGCATTTTAGCTACCATTATTTTACGTAATAATTCGAACGTTCAAGTTTTAGAAAAAGATTTCCTGGAACACACACTCGATAACAGTACTCTAACGGAACAGTAGTGCTTGTCCCGCGTCGTTCTATTAACGATATTATATCTATAATTCTGTTATCAATTTAAGTTGTCGAAATGATCCGAGACGCGGTGCGTTTCGTTGACAATTAAGAACGTCAGTTAAGCTAACCGGAGAAGACTATACGCGTAATTTTATCTGTGATAATTAATTAACAAACGAAAGAATCAAATAACACAGCAGAGAAATGTTGTGCTTTTAATCTTTAGTCAAAAACACATTGCGTAAGGAGGGATAAATCGTTTAATATTACTTCCCAATATTGTAAGATGGTCGCCTTCTCTTATTTAGTAATATTGGTTTAATATTGTATTAATATTAGACCGACATTCTTATTACATTGTTAAATATTGGCCAATGCACTTGCAATATAAATCTAATATTATACAATTATTACCGTGCAATACTTACATTTATTCCATGACCAATATTGGCTTTACGTTGAACAACATCGGCCGATGCGTTTCTAATGTAACCAGCATTGGACCAATATTTAGCTAATGTTTAGTCAATGCACTGCGCTACTATTAACAATAAGATATTTTACAAGGACCCAGCTTTTCCAATCTGAAAGATCGTAACGGACTGTTCGCAAAACAAAAAAAAAAGACATTTCGGATGCGACGCCGTATTCGCGATGCAGTTGCACGCCCGGTCTCGACTATAAGTCTTTAGTGTATCTCAAAGTCACGCGTTCACGGGCGCGAGTCGGGCTTAGAAACGGGTTTATGCTAGCGTTAGACATTTATCGCACGACACTAGAGAAAAGAAAAAAAGGAAAAGCTACTCACGCAGCTCGTCTGCGTATCGCAAAAAGGAGCAACGCGACGTTCGTTTCTCACGCATCTTTTTTCTCTGATCGATCAGTAATCGGAAATATAAATAGCAATCTCGTGCGGCGTGTTGGATTTCTGTAATTGAAGCGATTACGCTTAATTTCTCACTTATACCCCCACGTCAGTATGTGTAGAACGAAACGTTACTTCTCGCAGGTATCGGATATGGAAATCGGACGATCGTGTATTCGATTTCGAGTTTCGACAGAGCGACCAATTTCTTTGAGCGAATTTTAATTCACCTAATTCTTACGAAGGCACGTTACGGCAATCTATAATCCGATTCTTCAGCCATTACGTCAGACCGAACATTGTTTTAGTTATGTCGATTTCTTACGATAAAGAGAAATCCGCCTGCGCCGTTGAAGTTATTTCGAGCCGACTCAAACAAATAATAACGACTTACCTGCACGGTCTTTGCAGAATGGACATATACCGGCGTCCGTCACGCATCGTGACGTTAGAACCAGCCAGGTATCTCAGGGATAACGTTACTCGGTAGCACAGTGCATCTACTGTCCTGTAATTGCCATTAAGAAGAGGCCGAGCAAATCGATTAAAACCTCTTTACAAATGATAAGAAACATCGCGCTGAGGCTTTATTTCAAAACCAAGAAAACGGTAGAGGAAGCATCAAACCGTTCAATTCTATCGTTAACACTTTTAAGCACTCTAAATGCGTATAATTTAAACTTGTAAAAATTGCTCATACTTGCAGTACTTTTCAAAGTGTTGACACGGTAGAATGATAATTGCGCAATTGCTATAAAATATCGTCGAGATGAAAAGTATAAAATATTTGCGAGCGTTAGGCGCGTCAAGCTGAAGTTACTTGTCATTAGCATGAATGAAAGTACGACTACCGTATCTCTTATCCCCCCCCCCCTCCCCCTGAAGCCGCGTATATCA